AAATCAACTCTGAAGATTTATAGTATAATTAAAACAAGACATAATAAACTTCATTATTTTTTTATTATTTAAAACTACGTCATAACAAAATGGAAATGCACAATCTTTTACCTTAACATATAAATACTCGAGATATCCGTAAATTCTGCCAAGTTATTTTTTACTGTCATTGACTATGTCATCAATAATACAGATTTACTGAGAATCAACAAATAAAGAAACAAATACTTAGCATTGTGCTTGTATAACTAAATGGTAGCGCTTAATTCGTCCAGACTTTTGCCGCTGTGTCACGGTGTATAATAACAAATATCACTGAAATCAGTATAACCAACGTAAATGGCAGATTGAACATGGGTTCTAACTCATCTGTGGAGTCGAGGAATCTCTTTCGAGTGCGAAATAACTGAAATTTGCAACTCTGAGCTCCTAGGTGTTGATGACAGACAGATCCTCGTCCAAGGGCTTATATTTCAAAGTGTTATCTTTAGCATCACAACCAATCTGGTCAGAGGATAGGAAGTGACTGATATCAACACCACGGTCTTGTATATCTCGTTTGATGTCTGTCAGGGTACCAGTATTCAAAGAGCGATTACGGCTTAGAATCCAAGCATATTCCATTTTGAAAAATCCGAATATGAAATCATCACAGGAGTACAATACAGAGTAAGTGTCGTAGTCGGTCCTCATAATCCAATAGTCGCCCGCAGGCATCCCTATAAATGATACATATACAGTGAAAGGCACAAAAGTATGGTCGTCACAAACGTTTCATAAATATAATTTTTTTTTATAAATCATAATCGTCGCTAGTTTTTATTTTTAAAATGTCGATGGTCGTAGTTACTGTGTCACGTGACGGCATGCATGGAAGCTGAAGATCATTTTGTGCAAGTATGTTTATAATAGAATATATGTGCTTTCGGCTTTGTAATATGATGGTTATTTACTTGCCAAGCGAGAACGTTGAATGTATTATTTTATAAAAATTCCAACGTCCCGAGTAAAAATACCCCAAAACGTGCAATGTCTGTCGAAATTGTAAAAATGCGCTACCATACGTCACGAACATGCCATGGTACGACTGGTGCACGGTCTAAGTCACAATCCAATTCTTTCAAAGTGTTTACGTGCAAGATGCACGCTACAAATTGATCACATTGATATCGATTAATATAAACTTACACCATCGGAATCTCACTTTCAACTTAGCAGGCACGTTTGGGTCTGGAACCCAGGCGTAGCCTTCAATCGTAGTTTGTTCACCGGTCTCGATGTCTGTCCCATTGTTGATTACCCAAATAGTGCCATCTTGTTTCAGCCAGTACTTTGCATTAATGCATTTCAGACTAGATTCAAACGATGCTGGAAATCTTTCAATCTCGTACCACGAACCAATGTAATTATTAACGTTGAAGTCGCGTTGTAGCAAAACTGGTGGACACGGACCGCGTGATATAACTTGTCCACAAACGCTGAAAAATAGTGACACAACACCGACAGTAAGAATGACAAGACAGTGACCCGTCATATCGGTACTAGTACGTGATAGTTACTCAACTCACTGAGGCCCGAGGTGATTTAGCGTCAATCTCGAAGAGGCGGCATTTATCTGGCTTGTAACGCCACGTGAATCTGTGACCGCGTTGCAGTTGGTCATGCCTTACAATCATGGGAGACAATTCATACTTTAGCTGTCCGCAATAAATGTTTCAGTGAGGAAATATTTTTAGACAGTCAAGTCGAAATTAAAGCAGATGTGGTTCTGACTTCTGTCTCAAAACAGAGAAAATTGTTTAGTACTTAAAATTAATCATTAATTATTAATATTGAAAGAAATATTCGGACAGTCAGTTGGGAACATGACCTGCTACTTTGCAAAACACTATGGTTTTTACTTCACGGCGCCATTCCACTGACACGCGCGCAGTTCAGGTAATCATATTAGCATATTAAACGGGTAAAGCGCATTTGTTTTTCTGAAAAGACCATTCTTATAATTTTCCCCTGATATAATTTAAAGAACAGTGCACACTAAGTTAATTAGCATAGGTTTTAGAGCTGTTGACAACATGGGCATGAGAATAATGTGAGCGATGAGTTTGCATTTTATGTAGCTAAAAAATACAAATACATGTTCAATTGAAAAGGTATACAAGGGTGTGCCGCTAAAATGGGTCGTAATTTTTTTTAACAGGGTCTGCTATGGGGGTCAATCATTATCATTCGGACAGGCCGGTGATTAAAACAAAAAACATTGGGAAAAAAAAACGCTCTTCAAGCATAAACGATAAATATTTATGTCTACAGGTCACAACCACGGCTCACTGATTGTTCAAATCCTCGTAAAAAGAAAGTGGCCTGCTTTTACAATGTCTAAAAGTGACGGGTCAAGTAATTCAAACTTCAGTATTGACATGGATCTACAGTAACTTCTGTAAATTACGTACTAAAAATCAATAAAAAATATTTGTCAATGAATAGCAATCATTATTAAGGCGGTAAAACCTTTCACAAAATACAATACCAAAAAAGGTGGGCTGGAAATATGACCAGCTTGTAGACTTTAGAACAAGTCTTCAGAATAATTGTACTGGTTGTTGCTAATAAATTGTTATCCCGAGATTTAAATGACTATATTTCGATGAATAAATTATTCTATTTAAACTCACCAAAAAAATTAAACATGACAACTACTATATATGACGTAATTTTAACACGAGATTAAGATAATGATAACTCATGCAAAAAAAAAATTGTATATTACGTTTCGAGTATTCCGTTTATAAATTGAGACGTATTTGTTGATTTGTGAGATATTGACAAAGTATGCAAATCATTTTATTATGAATTATTTTATTCAGAACGTGTGGATTTCAGTCGCAGTTACACAAACAAGTAGAACTTGTAGAGATAATAAAATTGTACTAAGTACCCAAGTTAAGAAATGTTACATAATATTAACAAGATTCATATTAAACAATCCACATTGTGTCTTGTTTAGCAGAACATAATCATTACATTTCTAAATTCTAAATCTAATTAGAAACGTCATATTACGAGCTTAGCACGCAACACAGATTGAATGTTGTACTTGTCTCATTGGACGCACATGGAATCACATTTAACCACATGGATATTTAGATCATTATCCCCAAATAACCGCACGTTTACTAACACAACTAATAAGTAGGTGAATACTTATACAAAATATTTGGAATTAGAAATAACAATAACTGACTTTTTAAATGTTTCTGAAATTATTAAAATACGTGATTACAGGTGATATGCATAACATAATATGAGGTCATTACGAGAATACCTCAAACTATGCGTGAAGACGCGCACGCGCAGCGGAGATCGATGCGACGGCGTACTGTCCGAGTGCATACTTTGAGGTATCCTCGTAATAACTTTATTATTATACATCTTTTCCTTCCAAGGATACATCGTGGGAATGCCGAAATCCAAAAAGTTTAAACAGAATCCGCGAACTTCTTTGTGTGAGTCCGGTCAAACCCTGGTGGCAGCCATGTCTGTTTTTATTATAAGAGGACTCTTACGCGCGTAATCATTCCATATTTGGAATTCGCATTTCCTTATATGGTAGGATGAAAATACTCAGTAAACTACCGCAAAATTACGGCACGCTGTAACTTATGGCGTTACGGTGACAGATGTATAATAATAAAAAGCATGTACAGCAAGGTAAAATATAAAGTCATTTACTTTATATTTGTACTCATTTACTTAAAACACTAGGGTCAATCAAGATTGTACTTTGAGTCCAACTCTTCAATTTATTCATAAATGTTTTGCCTAATGCTTTCGATCTACGCACTTGCAGTCCCCAACACTAAGTAATAGTAAAGTCAGTTGCCTTTATGTGCAGACGAGATTGTAATCCTGTCTGAAACAAAACTAGGGATACAAAATTGTTCAGATCATCTCTCAATATATACACAACGATGGAAGCTAACTGTTAACACAGAAAAAACTTAAATAAACAAACAACAAAACTAATCGAAAACATATTTTTCTATGAAATAAAAAAATTAATATAAAGAAATAAATATAGCCAGGCACTTTAAATTCAATAAGGCGATAAATGAACAGAAATGAGCAAAAACTTTTGTTTCACTGAAATCAACCTTTAAAAACAATGTTGTCTCTTTTCGATAAATTAACTAGACCAATACTAGTATACGGTAGTGATATTTGGGGAGATGAGTGCTCTAAAATATCTGACATAAAAGAAAAGATGTACATTCACACTTTTTACGATTCATCATAGTCGCGAAGAAAAAAACTCCAATAATGAGAATAGATATTTTTATGTTATGGTATTGCGTAATAATATCCCAGCTAGACAAGATTAATGGAACGCAATTTAAACGACACAAATACTACAATTACAAGCTCGGGGAAAACAAACGGTCTCGGTTAGTAGTAGTAGTAACCACGGCCTCGTAATCGAAACAGGGGAGCATAGTAAATAGATATTACCAACAGAAAACAAAATCTTTGCTCAAAGAATTATACGAGGAATTCGGAAAGCTAATAAATGATTTCACAAATTTGACAGAAGAAAACAAATTTAATAATGATAATGGGAAATAAAAACATTGCAATGAATATTGCATTGAACAAATTTATAAAAAACTTGATTATGAGACGGCAACATCTCTTGTCCACTTGGCATAAACCACAAATCTTTTTAAACATTTCACAAAATAAGACCACAGAACCACATATATAATTATATTCATATATGTATTGTAATGTTTTTTCGTATGTTAATGGACAGGGAAACGTAATTTTGTGACTTGTATGTACTTTTTATTTTTTACTTTTAATCACTTTTCTTATTGTTTTGTAGTTTTAGTGACCTCACTGTTGTACTTTCTAGAGACAGTGTTGTGTAAATAAATAAATTCTAAGTATAAGTACAGATACAGAGTATTGTATTGTATACTGCGAATGTAATATGTAAATATAACATTGTTATGTTA